TTTAGTATCTTAGTGCATATAGCCAGACTGCTTCTTTGAAATAAAAATGGAGAGAATTGGGTTCATGTGCTTTGGATATATCAGGGTCCAGAACTTGAAGAATGACATCATGCTTGGCAAAGTAAAGGGTTAACAAATAAGGGGAATTCCCCTTATGAAAAGAATAATAATTTATAATTTATCAAGGGTTCATGAGGATGGCAGGGTTGGGGGAGGAGGGATAAAGGGGTCTGATACCAAGGGCTCAAGCAGAAAGTAAACGTTTAGAAAATGACGATGACAACAGATGTACAAATATGCTTGATACAATTGGTGTGTGGATTGTTATAGGTGCTAGAAGAGCCCCCAGTAAAATGTTCTTAAAAAACAAAAAGAGGAAGTCCCTTGATAAGATGATTTGATAAGATACAGTGGCTGCATGATGTGTTCAAACATAACCACATCCGCGAGAATGTTGCAGGACTTGTACAAGGCATGACGATGAGTCGGAATCAACTCGATGGCCCCAAACAACAACAGCAACAATGCAGATAGAAAGTCAGAAGTTTGAAACTACTAGCTGCTCCAAGAGGGAAAGATGAGGCTTTCTCATCTCATAAAGACTGATAGCCTGGGAAACCCACAGGAGCAGCTCTACTCTGTCCTATGGGGTTGCCGAGTTGGAACTGACTCAAGGGCAGTGTTTTTAAATGCATAAAGGAGGAGCCTTGGTGGCCTGGAGGGTTCTAGGTTGGGTTGCTAACTGCAAGGTGGGCGATTTGAAACTACCAGCTGCCTGAAAGAGTCAGTCTCAGAAACCCACAGGGATAGTTACACTTTGTCCTATAGGACTGCTCTGGGTCCAATCCGCTTGACAGCCATGGGCATTGGGTGCTCAAGGAAGCACTGTGCCTGGTGAGCACCCAGGTGTTTCTCCAGGTTGTTATTTCTTCAGACCTGGCAGGTCATTCCCAAAGGTATGTGTAAGCAGACCAGATGAGCCGCGCAGTACTTTTCTTACTGCTTTCCGGGGGAGGGATGGCAAAGCAATGAAACCTGGCATTATTTGAAAAGAGAGTTGGAACATCTTTCAGTAAATGACCTGAAGGTGCAACCTGAAGTGGCTTAGCTATTGTGTTTAATATAAGATAATGAGGAATCTTAATTCCCCCTATTACATTAATACGAAAGAAAGCCAACAATCAACCCTGGGACAAGCCAGAAGAGAAGATTCAGAACAGCACCATACGACTCCTCAAGGGAATCTTGTGGGGAATACAGGGATAGTGGAGACCCACATAGCTCCTGCTTTTGGGGGGCGCACTTCATAGCCCAGTGCTGGGTAGATAGGCCACACACACGCGTACTGACGAATGGTAATGGCTACCTGGGGGTAGGAAAGAAATGAGTCCATCAAATAGAAATGTGTCCCCTGAGTATGAACTCCCAGTTTGAGTCTTGAGACTGATGTCACTGGCACATTTTAGGAGCTTTGTGGCTAACGGCAAGGTTTTAGATTTTGGCCCACTGGGTAGGCCAATCAAGCCGATGAGGCTCCTGGTGACCAAGCCATTGTTTCTCAGAGTCTTAGACGTTGAAGAGCAATGTTGAATGAAGGCAATTTTAGTACGAAAGTGTGCAGTCGCTGCCTGCGGGCTGCGGTGATTTGAGGAGTCCCGGCTTTCAGGACTGTCACGCCAAGACTCACCTGGGAGGCCAGGGCTCCCGGCATGTCCAGGGAGGCCGTCAGGTCCAGGGGGCCCCATGTGGCCCGGCGGGCCAGGCTGTCCTCTCTGTCCTTTCTCACCCATGTCCCCGGGAAGGCCTGGATCCCCCTTGAATTCAGACAAACACCTTTATAATTCTTCTACGAGCAGCCGATGTGATCAGAATTCAGGATGTGTTATGTTTTGCTCACACTATCATTTATTTCATCCCTTTTTAAACTTTGTATTGTGATTTAGATGGAGGTTTATGTATCCGATCATTGCTCTGTATTCCACAACCTAAACAATGTATGAAAGCTCCTAGCAGCCTGCCCTGGCCTCCCCTTTTATCACCCACCTCCCTCTTGTAGGATATTATCTTCCCTTTCACCCCCATGAAGCCCTTCTACCCTCATCCCTCATTTCCCCTCCTACTCCTTCCTGGTAACCATCAAAGAATGTTTCTTTTGGTATGAAACCTTTATCGCGATTTTCAAAAAATAACAATGGTCTCATACGTTATTTGTCCTTTTGTGATTGACTAATCCACCCTTCCTTTCTTCATTCACCCAACAATTCACATGAAGCATCTGCTGTGCCTAAGGAGCCCTGGTGACATAGTCGGTTATGAGTTGGACTGCTAACCACAAGATCAGCAGTTTGAAACCACCAACAGTCCAAAGGGAGAAAGATGAGGCTTCCTACTCCCGTGAAGATTTACAGACAACCCGCCGGGGGCAGTTTTACCCTGCCGACTCATAGTAGTGGCCGTGAGAAAAGGTCTCAATGCAAAAGCGCCACTTTTTGGTTTTGAGACTGAATCTAAAAATAAAGTGCAAAGGAATTTGTGTTCCAAGAAGTAACAAGCCTGTGTGGCATTACACGTATTTTTCTTTCTGCTTGCTTTAGCAATTCCTGTAGGAGAACGTGGCTGATAGAAATCAAGGCAAGGTCACTTCTTCTTGGCTCAGAAAAGAGCCAAAGGCCCCGTGGATTAATGGACCACATATAAGTAAGTCTCCGTAACCCTGAGACCAGAAGAACTAGATGGTGCCCGGCTACCACTACCAACTGTTTGGAAAAAGATCACATTAGAAAGTTCTAGAGAGTGGGAGAGAGATGTGGGGCAAAACTCAAAAACACAAAAGAAACGCTGAATGGCTTTGTGGTACAATGCCCCTGTGAAGGCACTGACAGCACAAACAGGGGGTGGCGTGGGGGGCAGGACATTGAGACTAGGTAAAAACCTATTGAATTTCAAAAATAAGTTTTGAAACAACAACTGAAGATGACTGTATGCATTTTAGGATTTTTTTTTTGCTCTTGTGGTTTGAGTTTACATATTTTACTATCTCACGTTTTCTTGAGACCAGCGTTTTTGATGACAAGCTCCGAAGATTTATTTTTTGAAGTCTGCGTGAGATGGGACCATGAGCGGGGAGGGATTATTTTATACCCTAAGAACAAGCACTGCCCTCTCGCGCTGGATGGGCCTGTGATCACTGCCACCTACTGGTAACACGTAAAATCGCAGGAACAGTTATGAGCAGTTCCTTGTCTGGGCGGATGGAGTCAGAAGGTTTGAGCCAAGGAAGCGACAAGTAGCCTGAGCTGTGGCTATTGGATTAAAAACGCCCCTCAATGACTCCCTGAAGGTGCAGCAATATTTTCAATTTCCTCTACCCACACTGAATCTGGATATCTTCTGATGTTTCCATATGTTTATGCACCACTGAGACATGAGTGGCTTATACCTTTGGTCCCGGTGGTCCTGGCTTTGCACCAGCAGAATAACCTTGATTTCCCTTATCTCCTTGGAGACCAGGAAGGCCTGGGAGTCCTGGCCTTCCAGGAAATCCTGGGAATCCAGGATCCCCTCTTTTCCCTTTGGGACCTGAAATTAGGAGAAAAAGCAGATAAAATCGCTAAGCAGAGGCTGCTTAACCTGTTCTATTTTTGACTTTTGTAGCATCTGCTCTTCTGCCAAGAAATGGGTTCTTCC